GGAGCAGGAAGGTTGACATTTCAGGCCTAGACTCTTCTTCAGAAAATGATTTTCTGAAGAAGGGTCTAGGCCCGAAACATCAGCCTTCCTGCTCCTCTGATGCTGCTTGGCCTGCTGTGTTCATCCAGCTCTACACCTTGTTATCTCAGATTCTCCAGCATTTGCAGTTCCTACTATCTCTTAATTACTATTCAATCTGATTCACTTCCTTGTCAATGATTCTGCTTTGCACTCACTAACTTCCTTTTAATCACATCCCTTCATTTTTCTCTCAATATGATGTCTGAATTGCTAAATCTGATTCATTTGCTTCAACCAAATAATTAAAATGTTAAGATGAAATCCAATTTTGCTTGCAGCATAAAGCGGACAGAAATAGTTCACCTGTTGCCCAAGCTGAATTCTACCCGAGATAACAAGGTGTAGAGCTGGATGCACACAGCAGAAAGGTTTCTGAAGCAGGGTCTAGGCCCGAAACGTCAACCTTCCTGCTCCTCTGATGCTGCTTGGCCTGCTGTGTTCATCCAGCTCTACACCTTGTTATGTCAGATTCTCCAGCATCTGCAGTTCCTACTATCTCTGAGTTCTACCCGATTTCCTTTGCAATTAACCCCTATTCACATCTATTTTGCAACCTGGCTGAAGGCGAACTTAAGCTGAATTGCTTATTTCAATGTTTCAAACACTTTGGGCAGAAACTTCAACTTAGTTGAGGCTGTTCAATGAACGTCAACAGATTAACTGCCCTAGTAAATCTCATCTGACTTCTGTTCCCATTAACTTCATGGAAAAGTGAAGTTACATACCAGCCAGACTTCCAGTTTACGACCTATCAAAGGTAATGATTCTGCTGGTAATATCTATGAATCACTCTCAATCATTGCCTCTCAATCAACCGCTAAAGCTCATTTCCAATGGCTCCATCTGAGTCCTTGTTCATCTAATGGGCATATTGTTATATCCTCAGGTCTCCACCAGAATGTTTGCGGTTTCTTCGCATTTAAAAACAATTCACACTTTTCAACACATCTCAGCTGCCCATAAAACCCAACACCGGTCAAGAATTGAACTCAGTTATTACCTCTTGACCAGTACCTTGAAAATATGTCTTTTGTTCCTGGACAGAACAAGAAAGTGTTTTTCTAATAAGTGACTTTTCTCTCACCTTCAGTTTCCCTTTGCTATAACTTATTTTGTATCTCGTACACTTTAGCAGTACTACTATGGTTATTGTTCTAGACTCTCCTTCACCTCCACCTAGACCAGAAATATATCCTTTAATGCTCTTTCACTTCCCTCCATTAGAATTGTGTTAAGATAGAAGCTTTGGACAGGTTTCAAGGAGAATTCTTTTCACTCAGACAGATGGTGATGAGGATCTGGAACTCACTGCATGAAACAATGGTGGAGGCAATAAACATTTAATAAGTAGTTGATTATGCACTTGAACAGCTGTGATATACAAGAGGTAACAACCGTAAATTTAGATTTTATATAATGGACTGAATAGCTTCTTTCCATGCTGTACATTTCTAGGATTCTAAGAACAGTGATTACTTGCACAGTGTCCCATATGAATTCGATGGATGCCAATTTTGATTGCCTAGCTCAAAACCAGCAGGATGTGGCTGAGCCGAAAAGATTGTGTGTTCTCTAGAGTGGGTGGGGGAAACTCTGATTTCCTCAATCAATCAGCAGATTCCTGCAAGTTAACCCAAGGAGGAGAGGTGCACACCTGGTCAAGGTTTATCTCTTAACCACAATTGCTTACAATTCATCATAATTATCTGCCTGTCTGTGGGATCTTGCTGTGTACTAAATTGTTGCTTTATTTCCTACATTACAACAGTAACTGCACTTCAAAAGTACTTCAGTGGTTGGGACAGACTTTGGGAACAAACTGAAATTACGAACAGCACTATAAAGTCGCTAAGTTGTAGGGTCATTGAGTCATAAAGCGCACGGAAACAGACCCTTCAGTCCAACTCGTCCATGTCAACCAGACATCCCAACGTGACCTAGTCCCATTTGCCAGCATTTAGCCCATACCCCTCTAAACCTTTCCTAATCATATACCCACCAGATGCCTTTCAAATATTGTGATTGTACCCGCCTCCATCACTTCCTCTGGCAGCTCATTCCATACATGCACTACCCTCTGTGTGAAAAAGTTACCCCTTACGGTCCCTTTTAAATCTTCCCCCTCTCACCTTAAACCTATGCCCTCTAGTTTTAAACTCCCCCACACTAGGAAAAAGACCTTGGCTGTTCACCCTATCCATGCCTTGTACGATTTTATAATGTAACTCCTCAGACTCCGATGTTTGAGGGAAAATAGCCCCAGCCTATTCAGGCTCTCCCTATAACTCAAACTCTCCAGTCCCGGCACCATCCTTGTAGATCTTTTCTGCAGCCTCTCAAGTCTAAGAACAACATTTCTATAGAAGGGTGACACAGAGTTGTATGCAGTATTCTAAAAGTGACCTCACCAACGTCCTGTACAGCTGCAACATGATGTCCCAACTCCTAGACTCAATGTTCTGGCCAATGAAGGCAAGTGCGCCAAACGCCTGCTTCACCATCCTGTATACCTGCGACTCCAACTTCAAGGAATTATGCACCTGCACTCCACGGTCCCTTTTTTCAGCAACAATCCCCAGGGACTTATAATTAACTAAGTAAATCCTGCCCTGGTTTGCCTTACCAGATTACAACATCTCACATTTATCTAAAATAAACTCCATCTACCACTCCTTAGCCCATTGGCACATCTAATCAAAGTCCCTTTGACTCTGAGATAATCTTCTTCACTGTCCTCAACACCTCCAATTTTCCTTCTCCACAGTGAATACTGATGCAAAATATTTGTTCAGTATCTCACTTATCTCCTGTGGTTCCACAGATAGACAGCGACACTGATCTTTTGGGGGTCCTATTCTCTCCCTAGTTACTCTTTTGCCCTTAATTCTTGTTTTTTTCCGTACATTATCACACCAAGTCCAGACCAATGAGCCTTAAACCCCTAACCTGACCTCAGTGTTATCAAGTAAGAGCTAGAAATTGGCAAAGGAGAAACTAATATCTTGTGGAGCAGTCTGGGATGAATTAGAAACCAGATGATGGAAGTCAAGGTGCAGGATGTCAACCAAGGACAAAACTCAGTGCTTTACACTTGCGCTTCCAAAAAAATAGGCAAGTTCATTCTTATTTCAAGTTGTAAAGAGCAAAGATTCTATCAAGAGTGATTACCAATATCTGGTCCCTAGCTTCTCACCTAAATAATGCCTAGCAGTTGAAATTGAGACCGATAATTCATTGTCTTAAGTGATGTGCAAATTGTGCATGTTCTTTTTCTCACTAACTACATGGAATTGCTGAATCATCTATTGTCCTGAAAACTGCGGTGTGGAAGCTAGCCAACTGTCTAGCATTTCAGACCTGTTGCCCTCCAGCAGCAACACCAGTTAAGTACCTGTAACCTGGCAGCTATGCTCAAATGAGACTTGCCACTGAAGGTGATGATGGTAACCCAAAACCTGTCTTTGAGCAGGCAGTGTGGCTAGGTCATCAACTTCACTTTAGTTTTAGTGAGACGTCAAGCATTGACCTCCTGTACCTCAGAAATATTCTGTACCCAGTCCATGGAGGAACAACTTTACATAATGTCAAAATAGCTAATAACCAAAGAGTACTTCAGTATCATGTACAGACGAGGTACTCCTTGGAAATAGATCTGTGATGGTCCCAGAATCAAATATTATATCAATTTTATTGCAGAACACTTTTAAGCAGCACTTCCTTTCACAGATCCATTAATGTCATCCATTACCACTGGAATCTTCTCAAGTGAGATCTATAACAAGTCACTTTAATCCTTCAAGCTGTTGTCACACTATTTGTTGTAATAAAAACCAAAAGAACTGTGGATGCTGTAAATCAGGAACAAAAACAAAGTTGCTGGAAAAGGTCAGCAGTTCTGGCAGCATCTGTGGAGGAGAAAACAGAGTTAACATTTCGGGTCCGGTGACCCTTCCTCAGAACTTTGTTTTTGACACTATTTGTTGTGTTTATTCTGTGGAATCTCTGCTTATTCAGCACAA